AGTCATCCATGTAGTAATCAAATAAGTTGAGTAAGCAATATCTAAGCATAAAAACTAAGAACTCAATGAGATTCCCTTGTCTACCTGATTTTGAAGGGAAGTGTATGTTAAGCTCTTAAGAAAAGTTAATCAATCAAAATGTCAGTTAAGAGCATTGTTGTGCGGAATTTGATATAATACGAGAAAATATAAATGCGAAAAACAAGACAACAGATTTACGTGGTTCACCAATAAATTGGCTACGTCCACGGGAAGAGGGGGGCAGTTTTATTATGGAGAGGCAAGAATAGAGTTACAGAATAGGGTTTGCCATAGCGTCTATATATAGTACTAAACTACGCCCTAACAGGCTTGGGCCCAACATACAGAATTGTTATATAATTAAGGGCCCAATTCAAGGCATTCAACAAATCTCCACCTTGACTTGAATTCTCCAAACAGATTCTTCAGACCCACTATGATAGTGCCGGGCCTCCCCCTCTTCCTCAGAATTGCCCCGCAGGGCAATTAACAGCTTCTGATGTTGAGCAAGTCCAAACAGTGTTGAAACTTGCTCTGTGGAACCGGCTTTATGAACATATCAGCAGGATTATCAGCAGTTCCTACTTTTTTCACCTTGATTCTCTTCTCACTTCTTAGAAAATGATACCTCACGTCAATATGCTTGGTTCTCTCATGATGGACTTGATCCTTGGCTAGATAAATTGCGCTCAAACTGTCACAATACACCATAGCTTGATCATGATGCAATAACTTAGTCATATCCTCCTGGTGAACTTTTGGCGATGCAACATGGACTGAACCTGTAACCGTGGAACCTTGTAGAAAATACAAAGTACCACTTATGACACCTTTCAGAATCAGATTTGAACCCTTCCAGACCCGCAAGACTCCATCTTTTCCCGACCAGCTGAATCTCTTGCTGTCAAAAAGACTGAGAGATATCATATTTTTCGTCATCAATGGAACGTGCCTGGCCTTGTTCAATGTGCAGAAGCTACCGTCATGTGTCCTTATCTTGATCGAGCCTGTCCCAACCATTTTGCAGATAGAACTGTTGGCCATCGAGATGCTGCCTCCGTCTACCTGCTCATAAGTCGTAAACCACTCTCTCCTAGGACAGATGTGATAGGATGCCCCAGAATCGAGAACCCACACATCTGAATGATGAGTGTGCTCATCCGCAACTAGGGCAATGTCTTCTTCAGAATTGGTGTCTTCTTCAGCAACAGCAGCAGAAACTGATTGTTTTTCCGATTGCTTCTTCATCTTCGGACAATCAAATTTCCAGTGTCCCTTCTTCTTGCAGTAATTACAAACATTATCAGGCTTTGCACCCTTCGACATTGGCTTCTTTTTCTTTCCGCCGTTTTTCCTTCCCTTTTCGTTGCTGGTGAACAGATCGGAAGGCTGTAGGTCCGTACTTGTGCTGTTAGCCTTATGTCGTAATTCCCTACTATGAAGGTCCGATCTGATTTCTTCCAGCGAAACAGTATCTTTCCCAACAATGAACGATTGAACAAAATTCTCAAACGACATTGGGAGAGATACTAACAGAATCAGGGCATCATCTTCATCCTCGATCTTCACATCAATATTACGCAATTCTAATAACAAAGTATTCAATTGCTCTAAATGTTCCCTGAGTTGTGTACCTTCAGCCATTCGTAAACCGAATAGACGTTGTTTCAGAAGCAGCTTGTTGGTTAGAGATTTTGTCATGCACAAACTCTCCAGCTTCAACCACAGACCAGCAGTAGTCTCTTCATCCGAGACCTATGTGATGACGTCATCCACGAGACACAGAATGATTGTCCAGTGCACCTTTTCCTTTAGAATCGCCATCTTAGAAGTAACGACGACGTTCTTGTCCTTTGACAACGGCGCCCAGAAGCCTTGCTGTTTCAACAAAGCCCGCATCTTGATCTTCCATAAACTTAAACTGTTCCTCCCTGTGAACTTGTCGATTTTCACGTTCAAAGCAGACATCTCGAATTCACCAAGAACACCGATTAACCGAGAGGCTCTGATACCAATTTGTTGTGCAGAATTCGAGATGTCTGCTTTGAACGTAAAAATCAACAAATTCACAGGGAGGAACAGTTTCAGTTTATGGCAGATCAAGATGCGGGCTTTGTTGAAACAGCAAGGCTTCTGGGCGCCGTTGTCGAAAGACAAGAACGCCGTCGTTACTTCTGAGATGGCGATTCTAGAGGAAAAGGCGCACTCGACGATCATGGTGTGTCTCGCGGATGACGTCACCACGGAAGTCTCGGATGAAGAGACTACTGCTGGTCTGTGGTTGAAGCTGGAGAGTTTGTACATGACAAAATATCTAACCAACAAGCTGCTTCTGAAACAACGTCTATTCGGTCTTTTGGTATATTTCTCGTTGTCTTCTTACTCGTAGTATTTTGAGATTCGCTTTGCTAACTTCCGCATATACACCTGCTTATTTCCGGTGCTAACAAGTGGTATCAGAGTCAGATTCAATGATGGAGTCAGGTTCAATGGTTCGATAATCGATGATTGAACTAGGTTAGAAAGACGTGTTCATCTTGGAAGGTGTAGTTTTAGCTGCAACCTTTTTGACATTAATGAAGATTTTGTAGGAGAAATTGTTTCAGAGAGGTTCTCAGTGTTGAGACATAAATTTTGCAAAGGAGATTATGGAAAGGAGAAGCAAGTTGTTGAAGATTAAGTGAAGATGGTGGAAAAATTTATTTTGTCAGAAATTCAGGCCAAGGGGGAGATTTGTTGGGTTTTATTTGCCCTGATTTCTTACCATAAATATGTTTTCCTTTTAGGAAAAGGTTTTGAATTGACTAATCCTTTTTTGGTAGGAAAAGGTTTAGGACTCTATAAATACAGGAATATTCCTTCTAACTTAATCAGCATTCACAATGTAGTCTTAAGGGTTTTGAGAGTTTTGGTTAGAGGGAGAATTTGTGGGTCACAAGCTTGATATGTTATCACTTGTGTGAACCTCCCATATATTTCGAGTGAATTGGTTGAGGTTGTTCTCTCTGTATTTTGTACTCTCATATTTATAGTGGATTGCTCATCTCCTTTGTAGACGTAGGTCGATTGACCGAACCACGTTAAATCTTTGTGTCTTTTGGTATATTTATCGTTGTCTTCTTACTCGTGGTCTTTTGAGGTTTGCTTTGCTAACTTCCGCATTTACACCTGCTTATTTTCGGTCCTAACAAGCATGACCATTTATTTTATTTAAGACTACTAGTCCTCTCAATACTGTATGAATTGTCTTAGTAAAATTCGTTGCATTACATGATTTTCCAACCTTAATATACTTTCATGTGGACTTTATATTTGATAAGTTGGACTTTTTATTAAAATCAATGATTACTGCTTTGGGTTCGATTATGTCGTGTATTCGTAGCACATGCAATAATGATATTTCTATAAATTTTAATGGAGAAACATGCGCAGTTCTTCTATCAAAGACTAGTAAATTTACAATAGTATTAAATAATTAGGTTATATTTTTAACTTTACTAAATGATTGAATAAAAAATATTTAATCAAATTGAATTTCTAGATGATGTGTGTGAGACAGAACTCAACTAGGACAAATAGATAGACAAACCTTTAAATTAGAGCTCAATTTTCTTTCTGTTAATTTATTAATTGATTATATATATATATATATATATATATATATATACATATATATATATATATTACGGTGTGTGTGTGAGAGAGAGAGAGAGACAAGTATTAAATAGTTGAGGGTCCTAAAATTTATCAACTCAAACACAAAATAACGATGCTCAATACTTTAGAAAGATTGATAAACCTTGAGAAAATAATTATATCAATAAAAAACCTGATAAAGTAAACTTAAGAAAACAGAGATGCAAAATTATCATTTATTACCGCCTCTATCATTTCTCAAATTAATAAGCATATCTTCTGTGTTCACGTGTATGTTTTTCTCTTATAATTCATGAGATATAAATAACAGAGTAATCCAATCATAACAATAACACAAATAAATAACAAAATGCAATAACTTGTATATTTTATAGTAGTATGTACTTTTATGGATAAAAAATAATTATAAACTATATAAATAATAGAAATTATTGATTCATATAAATGCATCTATAGAAGAAAATATATTCAATTCAATGAAATGGACCTTCTACGCTGAAAAAAAGAATAGAAATTATGAAATAATACATTTGGTAAAAGTATCCAGTGATATTTACATATGCCATAAGTTTTGGTGAGAGAAAAAAAATTAAAGTTTCTCTCATGATTTTTTCCAAGCATATACGGTTAATTTAAGTTACGAATTAGGATAAGATCGAGTTATTGATTATTGTAGTGTAGATTGAAAATAAAAATTATATTAATTAAATATATTTTGAAATCATTTTCTACTAATTTAAATTTTAATAGAGTGACTTTTGAAGATATATAATAAAATTTGAGTGACCTGCTTATTGTAAAAGAATATAATCATTACTTTCTTAGATAATTATCAGTAATTGAATGATCGTTATATCATAATATTGAAATAGTCAACTAATTTACATAATCTATTAAATTATATAACTTTCCTAGTTGGCAATTTACTTTCCAAAGTCCCCACTTCCATCTACATCCCACCTCCAACACTTTATATGTTTTTCTTCCTGTTCGAAACCCTCCTACCTGTCAAAAACCTCCGCAAAACCCTAACAAAAAAACCATTCAACTAATTTCTTAAAAGTTCAAATATTTACCAAGAAAAACACAATTGGTTTTCTTTTTTTCATCTTCAAAAAAAAACCTTTATTAAATCTGTGATTTTTCACATCATTTCAAAGCAAACCCTTTTCTTACAAATCCTAAAGAAATCTTTTTATGCATTTTTTTAATTTGAATTTTTCATAAATTTTTTTCTACAGAAAATCCTTCATAAACCTAGAGTTCTCATACCTCCATTCTTCATTTCTCTCTGGTTTTGTTGTTTCTTTCCTGAAATCTAAATGGAAAAAGCAACTGCAGAGAATCTACAAAATTCATCTGACCGTAAAGCTCAGAAAACCAAAGAAACCATAAAAAACAATTTGGATTTCCCATTAGTAAAAATTGAAGCCGAAGAAAAATCAAAACAAAAGGATTCAGGTTTGGATGAACGGTCACCAACGTGGGGTCAACCTGATTCATTGACCATTAGTTTTGAATCTGATTCTGAGTCAATGGCCTATACTACTTCTTCTGATAGTAGTGAGATTTCATATTCATATTTTGTCGAATCGCCTCCTTTAGCAGTTGTGCCTATTTCTTTTATTGAGCCTGAGGATTTCAAAGAGTCAGATGAAAAACCTATGCCTACTGAGCATAGGCCTCTTAAAATGGTGGTATTGTTCAAACTTTTAACATCTTTAAAGCTATATCTACAATTTAGCCTATTTTTATAACATCTCAATTCTTAATTTATTCATTTGTGTAGTGAAATGGCATGGTTTTGCTACTTTTAACCTCTTTCATGTGAAATTTTTTTACAATTTTAGCTTATTTTATGACATCTTCAATAATCAACTTAGCCTACTATTATGGCATCTTTATCAATCAACTATGTATCGAAGTGTGGGCTAAACTTTTAAGCTAGTTTTAAGTGGAACAATTTACAGTGAAATAGCATGAGCTAACTTTTTTTAACTCATTCAAGTGATACAATTTATACTTTTAGCCTATAATTATTACATCTTAATCAATCAAATATTGTAGTAAATTAACCATGCTAGCCACTTCAACTTTTTTAAGGATTCATAATTTTAGATTTATTTTTATGACATCTTAATCAATTAACTATCTAGTTAAATAGATGAGGCCGAATTTTCAACTCAGTAATTGTAAATATAGATAGTAGTTGTTATAGTAAAAGTTCCAAATTAAAAATATACACTTTTAAGTGAGGTAATAATCAATATTATGTAGACATTGAGATGTCATACATTACATATAGCGTCGTACACACTATCCATGTGGGATTACATTTCATTTGTTATGGTAGTATTGATATGCTATACAATAGTAAATAATTCGTTTTCTAAGTTAAATGAAGTGTTTCTTATGTGTACTTAATCAACTTTTATTGTATCTAGTATTTATGCTATTATCTTGTTTTAGGGAGTTGGTATGCGTAACTTAGGCAACACATGCTTCTTTAATGCGGTTGTGCAATGTTTTATGCACAGTGTGGTGTTGCTTCAACTTCTTGCGTTGTTTGATCATGTATCACCGTGTGATAGTAAGTATCAACTTATAATTTCCCTTTTTTAAAAAAAAATCCATTTTAATGGACTTTATACCTTAGCTGATTCATGTCATTTCTTGTTGCAGCTCACTTAACCGGATTTTGCGTAGTTTGCATGATTCGACAGATAGTTGACCTTTCTATGTCTAGTGGCTCTGATAATGTCATATCAAACAAAATTTTTAGCCACTTGAATGGTAAGCTTTAATATACCTTGTTTTTTTATTTAACATGATAATATCCCCCCCCCCCTTCCCCCTTCCCTCTTATAGACACCGAGACACACATGGATACGAGTGGGTTCACACGAACCTATGCTTCCATTTCTAAACCACTTGTAGTTAACCTTAGTCATTTATTTATTTTCTTTTAAAGTTAACTTTATTTTTACATCAAGGGTTATAATAACATTCTCCTCGATGAAGTACATAAACGATGATTTGAGTAATAGAATTGTTTTAAAATAGAAAAACTCATCAAGGACAATTGTAAAATGAATGAAACTTTCTTTTATAGTATTGTAGATTATAGTTTGGTTGTGAACGTGTGCTTTGTGTCTCTGTGCCAACTATGTACCTTATATATCTTTGTATTACTTAACTTTTTGAAATGATCAGATTTTTCGCCTACTTTCCATCCGAATCAACAAGAAGATGCACATGAATTCTTACAATGCTTTCTCAATAAGCTTGAAAGTTGTTGTTACAATTTAGATCCACGAGACAACATTGTGAAGAAGGCCTTTGGTGGTCACCTAGTGAGCATGGTACGCATTGCATGTTTGTTCTCTAGATTTTATCTTAATATCTTTACCCTAGTTGTTTTCATTTTTTTATGTGCTTTGTAATGTTTTTACTTGATTCGAGGGTCTATCATAAACACCCTCTCTATCTCCCAAGGAAGGGATAAGGTATGTGTATACACTATCCTCTCCAGACCCTACTTGTAACTATGGAATTCATGTTTTCAGCCTTTTTTTTCTAAATTTGCAGCTTCGTTGTTTCAATTGTTGTCATTTATCTATCACACCCGAGCCTCTAATAGACCTAAGCTTGGAGATTGTGGACGTTGATTGTGTACCAAAAGCATTGGAGTCTTTCACTAAAATCGAGAATATTGAATTTTTTTGTGAAAAGTGCAAGACACAAGGTCCATTTGAGAAGCAACTCCTCATCGATCATGCCCCTTCTATTGCTACCCTTTGTTTGAAGAGATTCGTAAATGACGGATTTGATATTCAGAAGGTAGACAAGCATGTTTCATTTCCGCTAGAATTGGACATGTTTCATTATACCAACAAAATAAATAATGTGAGTATCAACATTTGATGTTTTATGTACATTTTATCTTTTGTTAGCCGTTACATGATATTGTTTTCTTTTCTCAATAGGAAGAAATGAAGTACGATCTGTACGCAGTTATAGTGCATTCGGGGTTTTCAATCTCTTCAGGGCACTATTACAGCTTCATTCGTTGCAATCCAAATGAATGGTACAAATTTGATGATGAGCAGGTATGCAAAATATTGGAATTTGCTTATATAGTTCGATAAGTTTTGAGTTAATGAAACCTAACTTGATCTTTGTCTGATTTTTTCGTAGGTTCATTGGGTACATGAAGATCATGTTCTGGAAGAGCAAGCGTACATTTTATTTTATACGAAGAGACACACTCTATGGTTTACAGATTATACACAAATCCACAAACCCTTCGTAAATTTGGTTATCCCCTCAACTTCTTCGTGCATTCCAAATAATCATGCTTCTGATGTTGGTGAATCTAATCATGTGGCAGATGACACATCTCCGAAGGCTACACCCAACAAGAGAATCAAAGGAGACTATTAGCACTCGTTTAGTATACAAACAGTTTAGACATGGAAGATTTAAGGAAATTAGAAAGTTGAATACTTTATCTTATAACTTAATTATTTGGTTGTACTTTTTTGCAGTAGATTGATACAACTTTTCAAGTATTTATTATTCCGATTTATGTGTCTAGAATAATATTGATTACTAGTTACGTTTAGATTATTAGGATTTATTTCCTTACAAAATTTGGTCTTATTCTATTTTTTTAACGATCTGATATATAAAAAAAGTTTGTGTCATTAATTTAATTTATGATTCTTGGAGGCTATTCAACCCTAAACCTAGTTTATAACTATATAAGGGGTACTAAATTCTCTTAAAGGCATCTCTAAAATTCCATAAAGATATACAGATCTTGAATAAATCCGCAAATTGGTGGATTATTCATATAGAGAGGTCAAATCTAAATCATCCTTATTTTATAAATACGCCACTAACGGTCCTTGAATAATGGATAAATCTTAGGAGAGTGGAATCAAGGGAACAACAGAATTGTACCCGGTATCTTAATCAATGATTTAATTTGTGTGGTTTATTTATTTTCCATATGATCAAAATTTGTTGCAAACAATTTGGCACGTCTTGTGGGACCAAATCTGTCCTTCATTTCTTCTCTCTTAAATCAAATCTGAAAATCTGAAGTTGCACGCAAAGGTGGAAGAATGAGTTTTTCAAACCTAGTCTTTGAGTTTCATCAATTCCACACACCGACAAGACTTGAAGCAGGGGGTATTTGTAGACATTGAAGTTTTGTGGGACTCTAAAAGATGCGTTCAATTCGAGTTGTGACTCTATAAATTGTGTTCAACTCAAATTAGGATTCTTGGAGGCTACTCAAACATATATTTTAGTTTATGCCTATATAAAGGGTACTAAATTCTTTGAAAAGGCATCTCAAAAATTCTATAACAAGATCAAGATCTCGAATAATCCGCAAATTGATGGATTATTCATATAAAGATGTCAAATCTAAATCATTCTAATTCGATAACACCTCTAATGGTCCTCGAATCATGGATAAATATTATGAGAGTAGAATCAAGGTATCAACAGAATTGTACCCACTATTCTAATCAATAATTTTTTGTGTGTGGTTAATTTATTTCCATATGTTTAAAATTTGTTGCAAACAGTGGAATCTCCCTATTGGATAAAACTAAATTTCAACCCATTATATTTTCTTCTACCTGACTCATATCCATAGCCCATAACCCAAAACCCAATTTAAAAATGTATTCAAAATAAAGGATATATTAACCTCTCTTTCTCCATTAATCCTAATACTTCTTGCAGAAATGAAAATTTTGTACCAAATAATTTACATGAAAAACAATATACTGCACTTCATGTCAATGATCACCCACAAGCCCTGCTACATAATTAACCAATTGTTAAAAAAGGGTTAGCTAACAACTGTATTTGGGCATAATATTATGATAGCTTACTTTCTTCCGGTACCACAGACCACGAAAACACCTCAACATCTTTTAAAAAAATTGACAGAGATATGGATTGTTGATATATGATTTTTAAGAAAGACACATATACATCAAATTTAGTTGCTTGATTGTTTGAATTGGTTCAAAAATAGCTTCTTTTTTTTCACAATCTTCAAAAGCCAAAATAAGTTTATATTTCTTAAAAGAGTTTCCATAAAGTCACCTTGAAACATTATCATTATAACAAAGTTAGAAAAATGCACAAAAATCAATCATAATCAACTTCAAGTTTTCATACAACAGTTGAAGTAGCTAAAAATGCTTCTTCTTGTAGTTGATGGGTGGTTCTGAAATAGTTTTACTGAGAAACAAAGATGCTTTTAAAAGGGTCTTTTAATGGAGTTTGGGTCATGGGTCTATAGATATGGGCCGGGGCAGATAAAGGAAAATTTAATGGGTTGGAATTTAGTTTTATCCAATTAGAAGATGCCACGGAATAAATAATAATAATAACAATAATAATAATAATAATTTAAAAAATAGAAGGGTGTTAGTTTTAAGGGTAAAAGGGGACCAAAAAGGTGGAGTGGGGGGATTTTTAACCCAGTAGGTGAATGAGGGGTATATTTCAACATTTTCGAATAGTTCAAGCGTGTTTTTTCCCTTTTCCATTCATTTAATACCTCACAATTTCATAAGAGCAACAATTTTAAATAAAGCCTTTATAAATGATTGAAACTCTCCCCAAGGAGCTAATCTAAACAGGTACAATAGCTACTAAATGAATACAATTTATATAAGAAGATAAGACATAACTCCGGCCATAAGGAAAAAAACATGAAAGCTGTTGGAGATCATCGTCGTATATAAATATGAAACATCACTAATCTTTTAGTAAGACTATGCCTATTGCATACCAAGAGTAGAATAGGTAAAAACAGCATTTAATGGTAGGCATCATCGATCGATATGAAGCTACCACATAATAGCAAGTAAATAGAGATAAAGTCATGCAATAGGAAGTTATATCATGCCACTCCTCTATTCCCTTTCCCCAAATCTTCCCTAGTAAAACTACGACTAAGCACCTCCAATATGCCACCCAAAGCTTCCCAAGCCTATTATAGTACATTGAAACACAATCGATACGTAACCCATCTACCACATTAATATACCAACTATCATGCCGCCAGTAGTCCAACCGACTATCGGTCAACTCTTTTTATTACTGATGACAAATCCCTAGCCTTTGCTTAATTCATTCTTGGTAGGACTCAACCCAGGACCCCCTACCAACCAAGACCACCCTTATTAATTAAACCATGTCTTAGACCACAAAAGAATTCGGTCACCATAAACTCAATCCACTACGCAAGTAAACTATTATAAGAATAGCCCATAAGTGTGTAGTTAGTAATATCCCTCAACCATTACGAGCAACACCTAACTTGATCTCCTAGTCCCACCTTGGATTTTTATGCACAACACACGATACCACAACCACATGTCAACCACTTAGTACAACAAACTTGAATATAAACCCACTAACACATATTAGTTCTCTCTTGGGACACAATTGAAACCTAAACCATATATCACATCTGACCCAACCATATATAGTCATACCATGCATGGTATCCGAGCTAACAAAAAAAACATCTTGTACTGGCATAGTATCGAAGCCAACAAGCGAGCACATCAATAATGCATAATCACATAGCACAATGAACAAACCACTTTAACCCACAAATTACAATGACTAGTTCATTTCATATGCTTACTGTCATACATTGCACAATATCGTATTATAGGCAATAAACAAGCATACATAACAAAACCTTGAATCACACAACATCACTTATATATTAATGTCCCAATACTGAGCCCTATTAAGATTACGCACAAGTTTCCCTTGATAACCACGTGTTTAGGAATGTCTATAACCTAAAATTTCATGATAAACAAACCTTTAAATCCACAAAAAATCAGCCAATAAGGAAATTCAAGATATACATCCAAGCATTAGAGAAGTACCCCTAGTCAATATGTGTTCCCTCCATCATAGCAATTACAACAACATTCAACCATCCAGACCTTGTGCCAAAAGGCATAGGCATGAAATCTTCAGATACTTATAGGATTTGATGCCATAAAAGCATATATAACAATCAAATTGAAAGAAACCCTAGTCTACTTGGGCTCTAATCAACCGCTGGTGAATCTTTTCCCAAAATACGACTCCACATAATCACCCTTTGTTGAACGACAAGAAAAATTGGTAGACTTTACACCTCCTTTATGTAGAATTCTCCCCTCCTCCATATCTCCCTTGCCCAAGGTGCTTTTGGAGGGTTTCTTGGAGAAGTACTCATCTTTTTCCTCCTTCAAAAAAGAGGGAGGATTATAAAAGATGACACATTAATTAGGTTACTAATTTTATTTTACGTCTTTCTCCCGCAATAGTTGCGTCGCCATAGAGAATGACTTTTTTCTATTACTAAATCATCCCAACTAGAAAATAATGTAGGACTAAATATATCATGCTTAAATTTAGAACTTCTTTCATGACACTACCAAACCTTCAGGGCTTCACATGAGGTTCCCTTTAGTACGATGTGTCAGGGTCATTACACAATGATTGCTACTTCTATTTTTTTCTAAATATTAATAAGCCTGCATTTTATTTTGTTCACATTCACGTAACAATAACCCAATGTCTGATCCAAGCCTATCCATAAACCATGTAGTTAAGAAATTGCAATATCTTTTAAATTTTATAGGAATAGTATTTATTTTTATGAAGAAAAATTAGTTAACTGTTATATTAAAAAGAGAAAATATTGATTCATATAAATGCATCAGTAGAATAGAACATATTGTGTTATATAAAATGGTCATCTTACATCGAAAGAGTGATACGCAATGAAAAAGTGATAGATGTCATGCCCTGGGAGGGAATGACACTCGAGAACCATTGTTGGCCTTAAATGAACCCTTGGCCTAACTTACTTACTCAACAAAAGAATCTAAGAATTATTACAATGATCAAGTGCACTTCTACTCAACTATTTAATAAAATAACTTAGAACGTTTAAAGGCCAAACATTCAACTTGGCCAAAATGACACGTGAAGTCTTAGCATATGAAATAATAATATGTGAACACAAGTGATTACTAGCTGTCTATGAAGCCTCTAAGACAAGGAGGGATGTCAAGATAGGACTCCCGACCATCCTAACTACTGAAAACTAAAGATTTATGAAAAGGATCCTCTGGAAAGCAAGGAGGCTCACAAATTGACTCTGCGTGCTTAACCTGATAAACAAGGCGGTGGATGATGATCCTGATTTTCTGTGTCTGTATCATAAGATGATGCACACCAACTGTCATCAGTACATTAAATGTACGAGTATGTGAGTGAAATGCTAAATATAACATAGGCTTGAAAGAAACACTTACATTGACTTTACTCAACTCATGAATAACTCAAATCAAATGTAGTGAATAACAACTATAGTAGTGCAATTTATACAAATC